GCCCGGGAGCTGGCAACTGGCTTCGGGCGCGTTACAGCCGTCCGGTGGGGTTGTCGCGGAGACCCCAGCTCCGAAGCCGCCCCGGGGAAGTAGTTCAACGCAGTTTGCACGCGCTACGGGAGCTGGCAACAGCCGCGCTGCTTTCAGTGCCTCGAGGCTTGCAGTGCCCTGGGAGCCACCTGGGCCTCCTTCGGCCCGCGGTCCCCCGCGCTTTTCTGCTCCTCAGTCACGCGGAGCTTTGTATGTGCCTAAGTGGCAGCCTGCAGCCGAGACACTAGCCCAAAGCCCCCTCCCAGGCAGCCCCTAGTCGCGGGAGGCAAATGCAGAAAGGGTGTGGCGGACCTAAATCCGCCCACCACAGGCCAGACCCTAAGCTTCGGTTTGCGGACTCTTCCCTGGAGTCTCCCTCCCCGGAGCCTAAATAGGGCGTTTCCCTAGAGAAGTTGCTAGTCAAATCTTGGCAACCGCATACCAGCGTTCTAGCATTGTGCCTCAGCTCCTTCTCCAAAATGGGTCTAATAACCTTCACTCTAGGGTTGTTTTGAAAATTCAGAGACAAAATCACGGACAACGCGCAGATCAATCCCTGGCAGTTAGGAAGGACCAAAACGAAAGTGTTGAGTATTGGGAGCTGTTGTAACTGGGCCTGAATTCTGCATGCCCTCCTCCCCCGCACGTGCCAGAAGATTTTTTTGAAAGCAAGGAACAGGTAGTGCCCTTCACTTTTGGTCTAGCTTCTAGAACGCTTGCCAGAATGACTTGAACGTGACTCGTGACTCGGTACCCTCTATCTTCAGGCACTGGGGAGCAGGGTAGGAGGAGGACCCCAAATGATAAAATAAAAGGCCCCGTTGTGGGGGAGGGTAGTGAGAAAAGTTTGTAGAAGGATGCTAGAAGTTGGGATGGGGTGGAGGGAGGATAAAGCAGACTGTAGGCCCTGTTTATATGCAAACACAAACAGGTTGTTTATCAGGACTTATCAGAACTGCCCCAAGAAAGGGAAACATACCAGCAGAAGCCCACTGAAACAGAGCACTCAGGGAGCAGGAAGTACCTAGAATCAGTCCAGGGAGAGAATAAAAGGGAGGAGGAATGTGTCAACGATAAGCTTGATCCGCACGCACTGTCCTCTCCGGCAGGCACACCCTGGAGGGCCAGGAGGAGCAACAGTATTTAGCAAGGGTCAGCGACCTTCCAGGCCTCAATGCCACAGCTGCCTCCTTAAGAGAGAAAGAAGAGGAGGAGGGAGGTGTGGGACCTTAGGGACAGAGGGGCCAGAGAAAGCCAAAAGATCATTCGCACAAGCTATGGCCCCAGTGCAGCCAGGCCATGCTCAGCCTTGGCCTCTCATGTGAGTCTGGCATGCGCCCAGAATTTTACCCTGGTGTGAAGCTACTGAAAGAAAAGGGACATTAAGAAACCCACCTGAAAGAGTGATCTCTGAGGAGGGAAACTAGGTAGCTGGGAGCCATAGGTAGTAGAAAAGAGACTGACTTTATTGTTATTATTAGTATTATGCTTAGAATAAAATACACAGGCTCAGTGCTTGTGGCTCAGGTGGCTAAGGTGCCAGCCATGTACACCTGAGCTGGCGGTTCGAATCCAGCCTGGGCCTGCCAAACAACAATGACTGCTGCAACCAAAAAACAGGCGTTGTGGCAGGTGCCTTGGGAGGTGGAGGCAGGAGACTCGCTTGAGCCCAGGAGTTGGAGGTTGCTGTGAGCTGTGATGCCATAGCACTTTACCCAAGGAGACAGCTTGAGGCTCTGTCTTGAAAAAAAAAAAAAAAAGAAAGAATAAAACACACAAATCTTCACATTGCAGCTTGGTGCATGTATCTATACCCTTGTGTCTACATCCAGATCAATGTATAAAACGTATCTATCCTCCTAGTGACGTGCCCCTTACATAGGTAACCACTATTCTAACTTCTGTTACCAAAGATTAGGTTTGTCTATTCCTGAACAGCACACAAATGGGTCGTATGATATGTACTCTGTAACTGGCTGGCACCTTTTGCTCAACATAATATTTGTGATATTCATCCATATTGTTGCTTACACCAATAATTCATTTTTGTTTGCTTAAGTGCATAGAATTACATTGCAAATATATTGTGAATATATAGTATAGAAATATATTTCACTTATCCCTAGGAGAATGACTTTGTTATTTATTTATTTATTTTTTGGTCTGTGTTACCTTTTCAAAAGTTGAAAAAATGTTTTCAAGAAAAAAGAGGTTCCTGTGCTGGCTTCGGCAGCACATATACTAAAATTGGAATGATACAGAGAAGATTAGCATGGCCCCTGTGCAAGGATGACACGCAAATTCATGAAGCATTCCATATTTTTGTTTGTCGATAAGAAATGTTAAGAGTGGAATGTTAATAAATTTCAGTTTAGTTCTATAATGTCAAGAATTTAAGAATTAGAAAATGGATTGGTTAAAAAAAGAGGTTCCAGAATAGAGAACTAATTTCTAGGAACTGATCAGACCTATACATTACGGTGTGGTTGTAACTTTAGACCTGTGGTTCTCGTAGGGCTGTGGTATTAGGAAGGTTGAGAACCACTGCCTTAGAGGCTCTAATTTTGTTGAGATATTGGAGGTAAAGTATCTATTGAGAATCTCCTTGTAGTTATAGGAGCCAAATGGGGCTACCTCTGAACAGTGTGCTCCAGGACAATATGGCTCTAGGCAGAGTATGATGTGGTTCTAGAGTAGTGGTTTTCGACCTGAGCTGGATGAGAACCAAATCTTCCTCCCAAGTTTTGCCTTGGACTAATATGGGGTATAAGTGAGAGTTACCAGTCCCTCCCTGTTCCTATTTCCTGTCTTAAACTTCCATTTCATCTTTCTTTCTTTCTTTTTTGAGACACAGTCTTACTTTGTTGCCCTGGGTAGAGTGCAGTAGCATCATAGCTCACAGCAGTATCAAACTCCTGGGCTCAAGTGATTCTCCTGCCTCAGTTTGAGACAGGGTCTTTCTCTTGCTCAGGCTGGTCTCCAATTCCTGAGCTCAAGGGATCCACCAGCCCCAGTCTCCCAGAGTTCTAGGATTACAGGCATGATCCTAGGCCATTTCATGTTTCATTTGAAGGAATGGTTTTACTGCCTTAAACGTTATTTGAAAGCCATGATTTGGCTCCACGCCTGTAGCTCAAGCAGCTAAGGTGCCAGCCACATACACAGAGCTGGCAGGTTCAAATCCAGCCCTGGGGCCTACCAAACAACAATGAAAACTACAACTAAAAAATAGCCGGGCATTGTGGCAGGTGCCTATAGTCCCAGCTACTTGGGAGGCTGAGGTAAGGGAATCGCTTAAGCCCAGGATTTGGAGGTTGCTGCGAGCTTTGGTGCCATGGCACTCTACCCAGAGAGACAACTTGAGGCGCTGTCTCAAAAAAAAAAGAAGAAGAAGAAGAAGAAAGCCATGATTTTAGTGTAAATGCTGGTGAAAAGCACTCTCTAAGAAATGTCTGATATAAATAATTCCACGGATACACAGGACAGATTAAAAGACCCCATTTTGCCTTTCTTCCCCTCATTTACTTCACTCACACTTGACTTCTTGTTGTTCCTGGAACAGTTTATAACCTTCAAGGCCTCAGGGCCTATGTACTTGCTAGGGTGCAGCCCTTTGCCTGGAATGTTCTTTCCCCAGATACCCACAACATCAGCTGCCTTACTTCCTTCAGGTCTTTACTCAAAAGTCACATTCTAGTGACGTTTTCTCTGGTCACCCAATCTAAAAATTTCATATA